GGGGGGGGGGGGGGGTGGGTAGTAAAACTGTTATCATAAAAATCTTAAGCTATAAATTGATTAGCTGCACTTAAAACTAAAACCGCTAAACCCGTGAATTATGTAAAAAGATTTTTCACAATTTATCAAATTGATCAACTTTGACATTATTATTGGGTTTACAGGTTTAAGAATTAAGACCAATAATTACTTTTTTCCAATGTGACAAATAAAAATTCTAATATTCGCTCATACTACTAATCAAAACAAATTGTTTTTCTCCAGCAGATTAAACTTCATAAAAACGTTAATTTAAATGTCACATTGTTTGAGATATAACTGCGCAATTCACAGGCTTCTTTACAAGTTTGTATCACGTTGCCGAACCGACGCCATTTTCTTCAATAATGCGGGGCTAGTTTGGAAAACAAACGTTTGGCGGTGATGTATGTTAGAATTTTGTAGAAAGATTATTAAAAATTGAAAACCAAAAAATATATTTTATTTTCTAGAATGATGAACAGGGTGGTTTGTGTAATAATACCTTACATTTGTTTATAATTAAAAATCTTGATCTTCAAAAACCTTTCACCCCTTAAAGGATATAATTATCGTCTTCCATGGAAGTGTAAAGGGTGTCTTATCAAATGGACTATTGATCAATTGAACATACGTTCGTTTGGACTATTAATATTCAAAAGGACTGTAATCATTTTAAAAAGCGTATTTTTTTTAAATTATACCTGCTTGCAAGTTTAAAGTATTTTCATTAATGTAGTTTTACTTTTAAATGTATTATTTAAATTTAAATTTAATTTAAGAAAAACAGTTATTATGTAACGAATATAAATATTTATCACAAATAAAGATTATATTGACTTCTTTTTTGACTTGGTGTTATTAGAGTATCTTCAATGCTTCCATAGAATCTTCATAACATTGCTGAATTGTTTGTCAATGGTCCCAGCTTCTGGGCTTCAAATGTGAAATACATCCTCGCTCCAACTGAAATCAAAACCAGAAGACTAGAAGACTAGCTAGAAGACTAGATGAGTAAATGAGAAGAGTAAAAGTAAAGAGAAGAAGAGAAGAAGAGAAGAAGAGAAGAAGAGAAGAAGAGAAGAAGAACAGAAAAGACGAAGAGAAGAAGAGAAGAAGAGAAGAAGAGAAGAAGAGAAGAGATAAGTATTTCTATTTTTTTGATTAAGGGCCAAAATCTACACTTAAAGCATTTTTAAAATTAAGAAATACTTGATTTTACGATTAAGATGCATTTCTTTTAAATATTTTTGGAAAAAAAAAATTGTGCAATTGATCAAATGATGAAAAAATCGACGCTTTCAAATCCAAAGAAAAAGTTGTCTGGTAAAAGTGTTTGTCTGCTAGAGCTGGGCCCGTTCCAACTTTTTCTATACGTTTCGTTAACGGTAAAAAAAATCAGGTATAGCTGTATAGTTTTAATTAGGTAAGAATGTTTGTTTCGTAAACTGTATCTACCGTTTTTTTAAAGTTACCTTCAGTCAACTTTATTAACAGCGTTAACGAAATATATTCTACTGTTAACGGTTTTTTGCAATTACGGCATTATCGAGCTGTTTAGAAATTACGCAAAAAATTGTTCACTAACGGTTTGTCAAATTGTTAACGGTGCAAGCAGTTAATAGTGCTTAAATAAGTTACTATTACTATTAACTATTTACTGTGTGACAGCATAAAATGCTCAAAAGTATTGCTACAATGTCGTCTTCTTATTCCACAATTTTCTGTTAATAAATGTATCTCTGTAAAGTTTATTGATATCCATCTTTTACTAAACTTGTTGATATCGTTTTAGTTATTTTATTATTGGTAAATTTATTATCATTTTTTGAGAACTTCAGAAAATTAGAAAAGCTAGTGGAATTTTTAACTTTAAACAATTACGAACAAGTGTACAGGGTGTCCTACGAAACATGACAGTAGCAAGACGATTTAAAAGTCGTCTTTGATTTTTGAACTTATTTGAGACATTCAGTAATTAATCTTCTCTGACGTGTATGTTCCTTGAAACAATAACCGCAAAATACTCATAGTCCTTGGATTTCCAAAATGTGGTCTACCTTTTTGGTTCTATCAATAAAAAGGATTTTGTTCCGATTTCAGTTCTATTCAATAAAACCAAAATTGTCGAAATTAGAATATTAAATTCTTCATCTCTGATAATATTAAAAGCACAAAAAAGGCAGATCACGTTTCATGGGACACCCTGTACAATTTGCTCTGCATACCAGAACAAATTTGACATTTTTATGTTTAATAACATTTAAATGTATACATGAATGCATGGTCCAATTTGCTGCAAATATCAAGGGTTTCAATATTGAGTTTGCCATTTGCAATGTTTAAGGTTATTTGATTTAACGTTTTGCTTCAAACATCAGAATTCAGCAGTTCCTAAAATGGAACCATTCCAATTACACGTAAGACAGTTTTCTTTGTAGTTCTTATCAGTTTGCTCAATGGCATATCAATTTCTAATCTAATTATTCTTTTAACAGATTTTTTATATTATTATTTTAATATTTGTTAAGCGAACGAATTTCAACAGAAAAAAATTATTTATCTGACTCAATGATTAAAAATCCCTGTACTATATTCTGCCATTTTCCTTCCAAAGGAATTGAGTTTTTGTCACAAACTAAAATATCTTTGCAACTGGATAGTGTTAAACTATGATATTTAAAACTCAAATTATTTGATCTACCAGTATTCATAGTTTGAAATATCTAAGGTCTACGACATTGGGCTGCAAAGTTATAACGTTAGAAAATTTTTAGTTTGTGGCAAAGACTCAATTCCTTTATCCAAGTATGTATAAAGTTCATTTTGGATGCAAAGTCATTTCTTAAGGTCAAAACATTTACTTTATTCCATAATGTAATATTTTTTTTTAAGGTTTTTCCAATCTTTTTATTGTTTGGTTGGATTGGTTCAGTTTTTTCTTCGGTTAATCTTGAACACTACATCGAACATTTTACCAGGGAAAATATTATTTGCATAAATGTTATGAAATAAAAATTGCTTTGCTTTTTATAAAAATTGGAAATTTTTGAGAGTAGGGTTAGTGGTAAAAGGCCCCTAGGTCAAACCTCGGGTGATTAAGAAAAAAAAAATTTTATTTTAAAAACATAAAAACCTCTACCAACCCCCCGAGAAGAGGCTTACCCACCTACAAGGTGTCTCAAAAAACACATGGAATAAGGGTCTACAGATTCGTATGTAATCGGATTTTCAAGATTGACACCAATTTTAAAATTTATGTTACAATTCCCGATTCAATAACGATTAATTGTAGGCTCGTAGATTTTAAAATGACAATCTTATAGGCTTCTAAAGTTTCCAACTGGATTAAGTAAGGGAATTGAGCTTTTGCCACAAACTCTGATTTTCTAATTTCAATATCGCTGCAACCCAATGTTGTAGACCTTTGAAATTTCAAACTATGAATGCTGTTAGATCAAATAATGTGAGTTTGAAATATCAATGGTTTATATAATCAGGTTGCAAAGATATATGGATTACAAAAATTGAATTTGTAGCAAAGGTTTAAATCCTTTGGTAAAAATAAAAATAATCTCCGTTTTCACAATTTTGCATGAGCGTCTAAGGACTTGTTTGAAATCGGATTGTTAAGATTGAGACCATTTATTATATCTACTTTTACGTATAATTTCCGATTCAATGAGCCCATTTTTGGAATTGCAGATCTAAAAATAACAATTTAATAGGCTCCTAAAGGTTCCAACTGGAGCTAGTAAAAAGTAAAAGATATTTTGATATTTTAAACTTAAATTCTGTTACATCAAATACTTAAAGTTTAATTTATGAATGAACTACAAATTGCCAATTTTAGAATTTTAATTTTCATTTGTGTGCAGCGGGTTATGATTAGATTTTAAGATTAGATTGAAATATTATGCTTAACTCTTTTTGAGAGGAAAAGAGAATGCAGAGGCCGAATTTAAAGAAATTGAGATGCGGCTCAAATATGGTTGGTTCCACTTAAGATTGTATTCAATGTTTCAAGATTTAAGCCGGCGCTCAATTGTAACCGTTTTTTGGCGGATTTGAGACACGGCTCAAATTCATTAAATTCGGACTCGGGTTATTTTTTGTTTTTCTCGATCCACAAAAAATATGACCTGGTTAAAAAAGCATAATTTTAAACAATACAATTTCCACAAATATCTAACGCTTTTCTGAAACTGTATCGAAATCAATTATTTAACAAAATAATAAAATTATCAGTAAGAGGGAACCAACCTGCTTAGAGATTTATATTGGGTAGATATATTCAAATTAATTACAAACTTTAACTCAAAATTACTTTCTAATTTTTTGCTTTGTTACTAAGAAAATGTTCTGTTTTGTTTAGAATTAACGAGATTGCAGAGAATGAAAATCAGAAATATATCCTTCAAACTCCAGATGATATTAAACGTATATCTGGAATGAATACAAAATGTTTTGTTATAATCACATCACAGGGATAAAATCAAATCAAAGAATTTATTTACCATAAAGGAATTAAGTTTTAATCCCTATATCTTTGCAACACAATGTCGTAGACCTTGGATATTTCAAACTATAAATTATGTTTGCTCACATAATGTTTTGACCATCAGATTACAAAGATTTAGGGATTAGAAAAATTGAGTTTGTGACATCGACACAATTGCTTTCGGAATGAAATATTGCAAAAATCCAAAATCTTTTAAAATATCTAAAGAAATAAGAAATCGGTATATATATATATATCGGTAAATATCATGGTAAATATCGGTTTCCTCATATAAAATCCGGAAAATATTTATAAATGTCGACACGTATCGATGAAAATATTAACAAAAATGTTGGTAGATAGCGGTGAACATATCCAAGCTCGAATGTTAAATAGTTCACATAAAAATTAGAGGTTTATAGATATTCATACTTTTTGGTTTAAAAAATGTATCCAAAAATATATTATTTTAAGGTTTCGATACTTTTCAAATAGGGTTTGTCTAAAAGGCAAATAACGGAACTGCTAAACAAATCTGGGGCTTTCACTTTATTTTTATATTCATCTATGTACGTATAAACTTCGCTTGTTTGCATCAATTAAACGTAAAAACGGCTGAACCAATCCTTCCCACTTTTTGTGTGAGACCTGACATGACCCCAGGGAAGCTGTTTATGGTTGGTCAGAATTAAAAGATTTTGATTTTTAAAATCCACGAGTTAATGTCGCATATAGAGGAACAATAAAAATTCTAATTAAAGTCTGGTACATGTAAAACATGGTTAATATTAGTAAATATTGAAAATATTGATAAATATTAGCATTAGGTAATTATCGGTAAGTATCGATATATTTTGGTAATATTGGTAAATATTGGTAAATAACGGTAAATAACGGTAAATAACGGTAAATATCGGTAAATATCGGTAAATATAGGCGAATATTGCTAAATATTGGTAATTATTGATAAATATATGTACATATCGGTAAATATTGATAAAAATTGGTAAATACTAAATATAGGTAAATTTCGGTAAATATTAAATGTGGGTAAATATTGGTAAATATTGGTAAATATTGGTAAATATTGGTAAATATCGGTAAATATTGGTAAATATAGGTAAGTATAGGTGAATATGGCTAATATTGGTAAATATTACTAGATGTCTTTAAATGTCAATTTCGGTAAATATGGATAAATATTGGTTAATATTGGTTAATATCATTTAATAGCGGTAAATATTAAAGTAAATAGCGGTTTAAATTGATAAATGTTAGTAAAAAACTTTACATTTTTTGATTTATTTAAGACTATTGGTGTGGAGGATGTTTGGATCTCTAGATATAAACCTAAACTTATATTTATCATTCATCAAGGAGATATTATCAATACAATTACAGGTAATTACAAGCTTTATGAAAAATATTCTGGTGTAAAATTTTTCATAAAAAAATATTGGTTTCAATCCAAAAACTTATGTTCATTGTTTTGAATTTTTTAAAATATTTTGGAAATTTTTCTAAAACCAGTTTTGTTGTTCTTTACACGGAAATGTTCAAAAAGGTTTTTAAAATTTGTAATGTAATACCGGGGAATATGGACTGTACAGACGACAACAAGGTCGTCTTTCATTTAGCATATTCTTGGGAATCAAAATGGTTTCATAGGAAAATCAAGACCATACCTGGAAATTCGGAAGAACTCTCCATATGTAAAATATAGGTAAGATTTCTATCAAGTAATTTGACAAATTCCAAAACTGAAAAAAATTTATCTAAACGTAGCATATATTGATATACATTTTGATACCCACCTTCTCCGCCAGTTTTCATTAAAACAAATTTTCCTTTATTAGTCTAGTTTTTCTTCTGTTTATTTATTATTATTAATTATCATTAAAAAATTTGCCCTTTCCCCTCGCTCAAAAGTAACGGCCTTTGAACCTTTTCTTTGAAAAATGTTGGAGCTATCCTTGTCTTTTTGTCTAAAAATTGATAATTTTCAAATGAGGGTTAAAAGAAACTTTCAGATTTCTGCAGCAGAAAAAAGGTAAAAAGCTGCCAGAGTTGTTTTCTTTAGAAAAAGACGACATATAATTTATGTTTGTTAGAAAAAAGAGTTGTGAACCACATAAATCTTCAGCTGAAGGGTCGCTTTAAACTATGTCTACAAACGTTCCTTAAAGGGACTCTAAACTATGTCTATAACAGTTCCTTAAAGGGACTCTAAACTATGTCTATAACAGTTCCTTAAAGGGACTCTAAATTACGTCTATAGCAGTTCCTTAAAGGGATTTTAAATTATGTCTAGAACAGTTCCTTAAAGGGACTCTAAACTATGTCTATAGCAGTTCCATAAAGGGACTATAAACTATGTCTATAACTGCAGTTCCTTAAAAGGACTCTAAACTACGTCTATAACAGATCATTAAAGGGACTCTAAACTACGGCTATAGCAGTTCCTTAACGGGATTTTAAACTATGTCTATAAAAATTCCTTAAAGGGACTCTAAACTACGTATATAACAGTTCGTTAAAGGGACTCAAAACTATGTCTATAACAGTTCCTTAAAGGGACTCTAAAGTATGGCTATAACAGTTCCTTAAAGGAACTCTAAACTATGTCTATAACAGTTCCTTAAAGGAACTCTAAACTACGTCTATAACAGTTCCTTAAAGGGACTCTAAACTACGTCTATAACAGCCTTTAAGGAACTCTAAACTACGTCTATAACAGTTCCTTAAAGGAACTCTAAACTACGTCTATAACAGTTCCTTAAAGGGACTCTAAACTACGTCTATAACAGATCATTAAAGGGACTCTAAACTACGTCTATAACAGTTCCTTACAGGGACTCTAAACTACGTCTATAACAGTTCCTTACAGGGACTTTAAACTACGTCTATAGCAGTTCCTTAAAGGGACTCTAAACTATGTCTATAACAGTTCCTTAAAGGAACTCTAAACTACGTCTATAACAGTTCCTTAAAGGAACTCTAAACTGCGTCTATAACTGTTCCTTAAAGGGACTCTAAACTACGTCTATAACAGTTCACTAAAGGGACTCTAAAGTCTATAACAGTTCCTTAAAGGGACTCTAAACTACGTCTACAACAGTTCCTTAAAGGGACTCTAAACTACGTCTATAACAGATCCTTAAAGGGACTCTAAACTACGTCTATAATAGTTCCTTAAAGGGACTCTAAACTACGTCTATAACAGTTCCATAAAGGGACTCTAAACTATGTCTATAAGAGTTCCTTGAAGGAACTCTAAACTATGTATATAACAATTCCTTAAAGGGACTCTAAACTCCGTCTATAAAAGTTCCTTACAGGGACTTTAAACTATGTCTATAACAGTTGCTTAAAGTGACTCTAAACTATATATATAACAGTTGCTTAAAGGGACTCTAAACTATGTCTATAACAGTTCCATAAAGGGACTCTAAACTACGTATATAACAGTTCCTTAAAGGGACTCTAAACTACGTTTATAGCAGTTCCTTAAAGGGACTCTAAACTACGTCTATAACAGTTCCTTAAAGGGACTCTAAACTACGTTTATAGCAGTTCCTTAAAGGGACTCTAAACTACCAGTTCCTTAAAGGGACTCTAAACTACGTCTATAACAGTTCCTTAAAAGGACTCTAAAGTACGTCTATAACAGGTTCTTAAAGGGACTCTAAACTCCGTCTATAAAAGTTCCTTACAGGGACTCTAAACTATGTCTATAACAGTTTCTTAAAGGGACTCTAAACTATATTTATAACAGTTCCTTACAGGGACTCTAAACTATGTCTAGAACAGTTCCATAAAGGGACTCTATACTTTGTCTATAACAGTTCCTTAAAGGGACTCTAAACTTTGTCTATAACAGTTCCTTAAAGGGACTCTAAACTATGTCTATAACAGTTGCTTAAAGGGACTCTAAACTATATCTATAACAGTTCCTTACAGGGACTCTAAACTATGTCTATAACAGTTCCATAAAGGGACTCTAAAATACGTATATAACAGTTCCTTAAAGGGACTCTAAACTACGTTTATAGCAGTTCCTTAAAGGGACTCTAAACTACGTCTGTAACAGTTCCTTAAAAGGACTCTAAAGTACGTCTATAACAGGTTCTTAAAGGGACTCTAAACTATGTCTATAACAATTCCTTAAAGGGACTCTAAACTCCGTCTATAAAAGTTCCTTTCAGGGACTCTAAACTATGTCTATAACAGTTTCTTAAAGGGACTCTAAACTATATCTATAACAGTTCCTTACAGGGACTCTAAACTATGTCTATAACAGTTCCATAAAGGGACTCTATACTTTGTCTATAACAGTTCCTTAAAGGGACTCTAAACTATGTCTATAACAGTTGCTTAAAGGGACTCTAAACTATGTCTATAACAGTTCCTTACAGGGACTCTAAACTATGTCTATAACAGTTCCATAAACGGACTCTAAACTACGTATATAACAGTTCCTTAAATGGACTCTAAACTACGTCTACAACAGTTCCTTAAAGGAACTCAAAACTACATCTATAACAGTTCCTTAAAGGGACTCTAAATGTAAATCTCAGTGGTCCTTCATGCAAAGATGGCAATACCCGATTCACAACGAAATCTTTGAAATCATAATCGGATAAAAATTGTGGAAAATACCGTCGTTTTCTATCTGCCAGACCACGGCTTATTTTAAGCAAAAAATGCTCAGGTCACTTTGCAGAAAAACCGCAAATAAAATAGTTGATACTTGATCAGACAAAACCTTTAACGGTACTACTGTAAATCGAGTATTGCCATCTTATGGAGGTTCACTAGAAGTTACGTCTTTTTTCTTTAACTATGTTTGATCCAGGAATATACATGGTGAGATTTTTGATGGTGTTTGGTCTAAACATCGCTCAGACTTGTTATTCAAAGGAGTAGCAGATAGCTCCGCTGTAGACTCCTTTCAGAACAAGAAAATTAGGTTAAATTAAGGAAACCCTTCTTTATTGTTTTTAACAAAAACAACAGATTTCTATGCATCATACTTAAATTTTCAAATATTAAAATTTTTAGTCCCGCTTTTTTAAGTTTTAAGTTTTAAAAAGCCCCAGAATCATATTATAGCTGTCACTGGGTATACACATATCTATGATTTTAATATCCACTAAATTTTACTTAAAGGGAGTGTTCGCGAAAAATGAAAGGGGGTATAGGCTTAATGCGATAAATAAGCGCTTTTGATAGCTACTAATCTTAGTTCTATCTGTTGCGTCTTTAAGGAGAAAATTGATAAAGACGTCACATACCGAAGAGCGTAGCGCCCATACAAATTGAGGAAGTTGGAACATACGACTTGGATCGTAAAAAAATCAATTTAATTTCAAACAAATCATTCAGATATTACAACCTATAGTCATCGATTATCTTTCGCCACATTTGAATATAGTTGATTTTTCATAAAATGTTTTAATTGTTATGATCTGAGAGTTACTTATAAAAACATGTATTCCTGTTTCGAGGATATTTGGTAATGAAGACGACATTTTCATATTTTTCAGGAATGTTCGAAAACAAGTGGTAAGCTAAATATTATTTTTAAAAATAAAATCAAAACATATTATGAAAAATCAACTATATACAAATGTGGCGAAAGATAATCGATGACTATAGTTTGTAATATTTGAATGATTTGTTTGAAATTAAGTAGATTTTTTTACGGTCTAAGTCGTATGTTGCATCTTTCTGAATTTGTATGGGCGCTACGTTCTTCGGTATGTGACGTCTTTATCAATTTTCTCCTTATAGACGCAACAGATAGAAGTAAGATTAGTAGCGATCAAAAGCGCTTTTTTATCGCATTAAGCCTATCCCCCTTTCATTTTTCGCGAACACTCCCTTTACTCATAATATTCATGCTTTGATCTAAACATAAACCTGATTTAACTTACAGAAATCTTAGTTTGAACTGTCAAAGGTCCTATAAAGAAATTGTGTTGAAAAGTGGTATTAGAAAATCAGATTTAGTGGCAAGAATTCAGTTCCTTTGTTATACAAGAAATATATTATCCATTTTAGTATATTTGCATACAGTGATGTGTCCTGTGCCAGTCTTCAAGAAAGTTACAAATAACAAACTCTTTTGATTAAAATTCGGACGAAGACGATATTCATTATTGATATATATATATATAGGGTTTTCCACAAAGGATGAGACTGTAAAGACGACCTGAAACTCTTGAAATATGACAACTTCAAGGTCAAACTAAGAGTTTTTATGTTTTATTTGGATTTTGCAAAGAAGAAGCAAGTTTACAGTAATGCAGGGAATCATGAATGTAAGAAAACATGACAGTATAAATTCAGTACAGTCGTCTCTGAAGTCTTATCCTTATGAGGTAACCAACGTAGAGACAGCTTTTCATAATATTCTCACAGGTTAGTATTTTTTTAATATATATATATATATATATTTGTTATATTCAGAATCAAACATAACAACTATATGCCAAGATTCTTTATGCTAACTGAAACTAGGTGCAATGAAGATACTTTTGAAGGATTGTATATGCAGCTATTCCTGGGTAACTGAACTAATAATAATAATAATGATTACAGAAATTTTAAACAATCAAATTAGAGAAGGGTTCATTTAAATGATTTCATCTGTCAGTCTTAAGTTTATTTTTTTTTCGGTGAAACTTGTAAAATATTTTTTTAAGGAACCTCTGTTTTAGATAAACTGAACCTGACTGCTGAGTTTATATTTGCATTCACAAATTGGGGAAGGTTAAATGTGGAAACAGGTTTATGGGATGGCGTGGTGGGAGGGGTAAGTAAAACTGGATCCCATTAGGATAAAAAAGAACGATATGTTGCAATTTTTCCTATTTTTATCAGCCGATCTGTGCTATTTGGCCGAAAGTTATACTTTTTTAAGTTTAAGAAAATTTATTCAGCGCATCACTGTAAATATTAATTCAATTGTGAACGCGAAAATATTTATTTTCTCAAAATATGTCAAAAATAAAAGTTTATTTGTAAAGGTTGTTTATGATGAAGCAGATGTTGGAATAACATATATGTCCTACAATGCACAAAGGTCCAATTTAAAAAAAAAAGTTAAAAATATTTCCAGGAGCTAGCGAGCGTCAACATTTCTAAACAGTAAGTTAGTGTAAAGAAAATTTACTGTTTACCTTTATTGTTGAATAATTCTAAACGTACGGGGACCTAACTTAATGAATTTGAGCTAGGTCATTGAATTACTCGAGGCTGGGTCAAACTTGAATAACCGATTCAGAAATAAAAAATTCATTAAAATCGTTTCCGGTATTCATATTAAATTGCATGTCTACAATCCTCTACAATGCCCGAAATATTAATTAGAAATCTATGTTAAGGTTTCATTAAACTATTTTCATTTGCGGTTTCTTTTCGAAAGTGAATTGCGCATTTCTTGATTATAAGAATAAATGAAGAAATTATCAGAATTAAAACTTTTCGGGTGAGAAAAACATCTAAATTTCTAAATTTTGGATAAGACTAAATCGGGCGTTGGGATCTTTTAAATTACTTCAAATTACGCTTCCATATTCTCTTCAAGTAGTAGATTAAACACATTTAACAAAGCATCTTTAAAACAATAATTTAAAAAATGCATCGCTTTGTTTACCCTAGAATGCAGTACGTCTCCTACACTACGCCAGTGGGAGAATTTAAACCCGTTTGGTTCTCTAAGGTTAAACAAATGTTAAAATATTTTTTTGAAGTTTTTTATTTTGATTGAACATATAATTGCAAAATGGAGGCTATTAAAATATTTCAAAGGGGAGTTATGTTTGTAGAGAAATGTTAGTTGAAGGCAGGTGGGAACTTGCGTATTGTTAAATCCAGGGGGCGGAAATGTCATGTGTTTGTGTCTGTACCAAAAAAGTGTGTGTAAAGTTTACCGAACCGAAAGTGTATACTGTAGGTATATACAGTAATAAGAATATTGGTATTTGTCAACACTGTAAGCCAAATTTTCATGCAAAGATTATAATTTGATTTAAGTTTACAAAAAACTACTCGTTATTCAAGCTTAATCATAATTTGTTCTGCAACTTCCTTGACTGTAATCATGTTGTGTGTCTGTACCAAAAGAGTGTGTGTAAGGAATACCGAACTCGTCTGCAAAGAAGTGCGACTGCATTTCACTTGCCAGACCTGCGTCATCTCCTTTCCCTTTATTCCTATTATCTGGTTAAATCCTTTAGTGTAACAAATCTGTTTTCTGGTCCGACAGATTCCTTTGAGATATCTTTATAAATTCGACCAATGAAAGACCAATACCTTTTAGCTTTTAGCTCTCGACCAATGAGAGACTAATACCTTTAAGCTCTCGACCAATGAGAGATCAATTTTTAGCTCTTGACCAGTGAAATATAGAGTAGCTTGTCGCTATAATTATGCATGGTGATTTCTAAGATTCGTTTTTGAATGTTCTTTTTTCCATTTTTTTTCTTTAATTCTTGTTCCCCCTTGCTCCCCTTTAATTTACTACCAGTTCCTTTAATAATGTTTATAAAAGTATCCTGGACGATCTTCTCCTGCTTGGAATATTATTGAAGTAAGATTAATTTTTTTAATTTATTTTCAAGATTTTTCAAACTTATTCATAAATATATACTTGAAGGTGTTTGATTATTATGGTTGGCTCGCAATCTTAGTAAGGTAAAGTCTCACACTAAAATGTCGTCTTTTTTCATTTATGAAATTTTGTTGCAGATTTTGAAAATTGTAATATTATTTAGAGACATTTTATGAAAATATAAGAACAAAAAATCAGCAATTTTTCTTTGTTTTTTTTTCTGCTGAAATCTGTGTATACAGTGAGCACCTGAAAACTCTGGAATAGAAATAGGACTCTTAGACTCAAGTTATGACTTTATGTCCAATTTAACATAATTGTGCAGTGTGAACAGATCCATTTAACTTAATATAAGGGACTTTATACCTTACCTATAGTAAAAGTATTTTCCTTGTAACAACAGCAAATGCTTTAATGTCGTTTTCTAATCCACAGTTTTCTAGTTCTCACTATTACAATAAATGCAGCTTTTTTAAAGTTCACTTCTAATTTCTATAATTCTAGTTTTTAACTGTTGCAACATCTGAGAATATTTTCTTTTTGAATACATCCCAATAACATAAAAATTTCGCGGATTTATAATAATATTTTTTCGTGAATTTTCAAAATTTTATTAAGATCGAAATAAGAGGTCCCACAAAAATTTGGGCCCGATCGGTTCAGCTGCTTTGACGTTTCTCGGTTACAAAAAAACAGACAGACAAGCAAATTTTATATACAGTGGAAACCCTTAATAACGAATACATCGGAAGAATTTATCAAATGTCGTCTTGACAATTTTTCAATAAGATTTAATTATATTACGTAAATTTCAGTATTTGCGAAAATAAATAAATAGCCATGAATATGCGGGTACAGTTTTAAAGAGTTCCATATAATCATTTAATTAAAAAAGTAAATATCTGCAACATTCCATTATCAGAAAGTGAAGAATACGACATTCGTTATTATGTGTTCGTTATAAAGGGTTTCACTGTATATAGATATACTATTTAGTACTATTGCTGCAATCCTTGTTTTTCTAATGGTTGTCCAGGCAGCTCCGATTCTTGGGTTTAAACAGGTTTGCAAGATTGGAAAATGTTGGACCGTAAAAATGTTCCAAATAATATTTACCAAGTTTCAATTTTTTTGTTTTTAACATTCGATTTTCTCACACTATGAAAAATTTTGAAACAGGCAAAAACAGGAACAAAAGCAGGGCCAAAAACCGAACCAAAACAAGCCCAAAAACAGAACCAAAAATAAGACCAAAAACAAGATCAAAAACAAGATCTAAAACAAGGCCAAAAACAAGACCAATAACAGGACCAAAAACAAGATCAAAAACAAGACCAAAAACAAGACCAAAAACAAGACCAAAAACAAGATCAAAAACAAGGCCAAAAACAAGACCAAAAACAAGACCAAAAACAAGACCAAAAACAAGACCAAAAACAAGACCAATAACAGGACCAAAAACAGAACCATAACTGTTTGTATTGTATTTCCTTATATTTTCTTTGCATACTTTCCAGAAGTAAACCTTTCCAGAATAAAGTTTTATAGTGTTGGTAACTTTACAGGTTCGCAATATTTGTGTGGTTTAGAAGTACATTTATTGCTTCTAGTTGTAAATTAATGATAGATAACGAGTGTATAATCGAAGAGGAAGTTGATTATAGGTCTTCTCTGGTCACAGGCTGGATCCGACACTACTAATTTGCAGATTTTGTAATCTCGTTCGGGGATTTCTTCCTCTACAGTGGTACCTTTAAAAATGCAAATGTCTTAAAATTCAAGAAAAATGAACCATTTACATTTAATAACCCCCTCCCCGACATGTGTTTCCATGTGTTTCCCCGTGGTTTTTAAAGACATCAGCCAGCCATCTACTCGTAGATTGCTTAGCAACCTGATCAAATATTTAAAAAAAAAGTTGGTCCCAAATTTTTGTAATTTTGTAGGTGTGTGAAAAATTTTGACTCATTACGATTGCGTGTGCCGATTCCGCGCATTTTTGGAAAACATATTTTTTGCATATAATTCTTTAGAAATATTTTTTTAGCAAATTTTAAAGAGGGGATCTATATTATTTTTCCCCCATCATCCCAATCTAAATATGTTTTTATGTTTTCAGCCTGATAATATTATTGTATCTTTGATGCCCATATCTCTTATAAATGCTGAAGGAATGCCGGATTGGTTCTTGCTTCAAAAAGAGCAAAGAAGAGGTAGAATATTTCAATAATTTACAACAATTTTAACATTTTTTTTGGCAAACAATTTTAGGCGGCTTGAGGAAGGGGGGGGGGGGTTAAGAGGGATATGAGGCGTAACGATGAAAATGGAGGCTAGCTTCCATCTTCTTAAATTCAATTTTTAAGCATAAATTATAAAACATTAAAAATTGGGTTAGTTTTATTTCATATTTTCTTTAAGTTAGAAATGGAAAGTGCCATCTCCCTCCCTCCAGCACTAGCTCATTTTTGACATAAAGAATTCCATTGGGGCGAAGGGGGTGGAGGGATGGGGTACAAACAGAGAAAACAAATTTAGATTGAAAAACAACATCTTTAATTTTAGTTTGGTCTGGCAGTGTTTTATTGATGGTTTGGGCAATTGGATCTTTGTTTTTAACCATGGCATTTTCAAGCAATCTCAGGTCCAAATAATATTTACAATAAAATATTCAAATATACAAAATGATTATTCAATAATTAAATAATTTGTATATTTTATGTATATTGTATATTTTCTATTCTATACTTTATATTTACTAGCTGGTGTGCCCAGCGTAGTCCAGGTTTATATTATTATCCAGACATAGTCACTCTCGCCGTTTACCCGCGCTTATTTAGAGCTATTTTACTGAATCCAACATACGAAGCACCTTTGGACACATCTAAGCAGATTGTTGAAAGGGGACCGGTAATAAAACTGGGACCAGGATTTTTGAATTTAGAGAGGTGGTTGAGCTGCGTAGATGTGGTTAAACCACTTCTCTTGTGCGCCGGCTAAAGTTGAATAGAAGTTTTTTAATCCTTATTTTTGCATCCTAATGGTGAAAGCTAATATTTCACACTTATATTTGATCTAACAGAATTCTTAGTTTAAAATTCAAAAGTCTACATTGGGCTGAAAAGCTTTAGGGATTAGAAAATCAGACTCAATTCCTTTGTCTACGTGTTTTATTTATCCTCTGCTCATCTTTTATTATATTTGGGCCCTGGAAAGGGCATATACAGGGGGGGGGGTCCATGGGGGGGAGGGTCATAGTTTTCAATGTATAATCCAATAAACATGAAACACAACAATTATGCAGTTTAAACTGTTTTTTGCTTCTGGCAAAACTAATTGCCTTATAACAACAAAACATAACATATTGTTTAAATGTCGTCTTCCTAGATTTATGGCTGCCACTATTGAAGCATATTTGTCTCTAGATTGTAATATTAAAAGAATCTTCCTGGATTTTTCCGTTCTTGAAGTCCTCTCCATTCCCTTGGCAGGTCAAAATACTGGACAACTTCAGATACAGCAATCCCAAGGTCAGATATATATATATATATACACATACATATATATACTTTGCTTGTCTGTTTACTTTGTTTGTTTGTGACCGATAAACTTCAAATTTTTTGTGGGACCTCACATGATCCCAGGGAAGGTTTATGAATGGTTAAAATTGAATTGCAATTTAAAAAATTTCGATTTGTCACAATATCTACGAAAATAATCTTCAAAAAAGCAACAACTAAAAGATAAAATCGAACATGGATGTGAAGCACCCTGGAAATCTAGTTTATAAAACTTAAATATAACTTTAGATATAGTAATCCTGAGTCCGAATTCAATGAATTTGAGCCGAATCTCAAATCCCCCAAAACTGGTTTTTACTGAACGCCGGCTATAATCTTCAAACATTGAATACAATTCTAAGTGAAACCAACCATATTTGAGCCGTGTATCAAATCTAAGTCGCGGCTCAAATTCTTTAAATATGGCCTCCGGGGTAATGTTTTAGTTTTATAATACTCTAATAAGGATATATCCGTTATCCTTGATCAGCCATAGATTAAAAGAGTACTGTTGTGAATCGGAAATGCCACTCTACAAATGGAGGGTCCCTTGAAATTACGTCTACTGCCCCTTTATTGATTGATTGAATAATATTTAAGCTTGAACCATGGGATCAGTCATTAAGAAATGTTATGGAGGGAACTGAAATAAACTTTGGAACTGAGGTAAGTTCTTATAACAAATTTATTAGATTTAAAAGGGATTGTTCCTATAATTAGGAGATGTGAACTCATCCATTATTTTTTTACGTCGTCTGTTGGATATTATAAACTAAATTCCTAATGCCAAGAGTGAAGGGAGCTGGGGTAAAAAATATACACCCTTTGTAAATATATATCTGAATTTATTCTGTAATTCAGGATCTTGTTTTGTATTTCAGGACCTTGTTTTGTATTTCAGGACCTTGTTTAGTATTTCAGGATCTTGTTTTGTATTTCAGAATCTTGTTTTGTATTTCAGGACCTTGTTTTGCATTTCAGGACCTTGTTTTGTATTTCAGGATCTTGTTTTGTATTTCAGGATCTTGTTTTGTATTTCAGGACCTTGTTTTGTATTACAGGACCTTGTTTTGCATTTCAAGATCATGTTTTGTATTTAATGATCTTATTCTGTATTTCAGGATCTTGTTTTGTATTTCAGGACCTTGTTTTGTATTTCAGGACCTTGTTTTGTATTTCAGGATCTTGTTTTGTATTTTAGGACCTTATTTTGTATTTCAGGTTCTTGTTTTGTATTTGTATTTTGGATTTAAGGAATTTTGTTTTTTATATCAGGAAAAATTGTTTTGTATTTCAGGATCTTGTTTTGTATTTCAGGACCTTGTTTTGTATTTCAGAACCTTGTTTTGAATTTCATGACCTTATTTTGTATTTCAGGATCTTGTTTTGTATTTCAGGACCTTATTTAGTATTTCAGGACCTTGTTTTGCATTTTGTAAAGAAGAATGCTACCCTCGCTCAATCGAACAAACCTTCATTTTACTTTAGCAAGGTTAGACAAAATAATTTAAAATATTTCAGAAGTGTTTCAAATAAAACTCAATAATTTTTTATACTCTTTTTTGGTAGGAAATGCTAAAACTGCTTAAATCATTTTTTCTCTTGACTTTTAGGAGGTTTTGAACTCTCACTATACGGGCTAAATATTTTTAGACTCTTGACTTTAATGTGGTTTTAAACTCTCATACGGGCTAAATCTTTTATTACTCAGGACTTTAAGAGGTTTTAAACTCTCATTACACGGGGCTAAATTTATTTTTACTCTTGACTTCTAGGAGGTTTTAAACTCTTATTATAAGGGTTGAATCAGTTTTAACTCTTGATTTTTTGGAGGTTTTGAAATCTCATTTTAAAGACAGGATCATTTTTTTCTCTTGATTTTTACAAGGTTTTGAACTTTTAGTATACGGGCTAAATTATTTTTACTTTTTACTCTTGATTTTTAGGAGGTTTTGAACTCCCATTATACGGGTTGGGTTATTCAGAAAGCATCTAAATGGGAAGAGAAGTTAAACAGTCACATTCTTCATTGTCACCAGGTTTAATATTGCTGTAAGCATGGAGAGAGGCTTACTTGTAAATAAACTGTAGTCAACGATAGCAGTGGGACGGATAACAAGTCATCTTCTCATCAATATCGTGTAGGAAGTTTCAGCCGTTAAAAAATGCCAACCCAGAGAATGCTTTGAACGCATGGCGCGTGGAGAACCAAAGCCATGCGTTGGACATTTTTGGAAATACATTTTTCCTATATCTCTGTAGATTTACTAACATCAGTTTTCAGGCTTTAGACTTCCTTTATTTCATACCATCTTTATATGGTAATATAAAAAATGAGCAAATAAAAATGATACCAACGAATCATGGAAAGCCGGAGCTCTCTGACGGATTCTCTGCCTTTCATTCCGTATTCGGACTCTTCGTGAATACTAACTTTTTGTTTTGGTTGTAGCCCAGGCCAATTCTTTTTACTTCTGCCTCATGTCAAGCCGTGTCTCATGCCTACTGGCAAGAATTCAAACTTAGAAAATAGAATTTCTAGCCCAACAGTGGCTTTGGTTCTCCATGCGCCCAAACATCCGTTCAAAGCATTATATGGGTTGGCATTTTTGAACACTGCTATAGTTACCTACAGATTATTTACAAGTAAACCTCTCTCCATGCTTACATTATTTTCACAGAAACAATTGATCAATAGCTAAACATCATTTAATTACATTTAAATTATACTAATCAGAGATGTTAAAAAAATATGAGAATCAATGAAATTTTTAAAATTTCAACCTTCTTGTGTAACCGTAATTTTTCATTTTATAAAAAATTTTAAAGTCTACTTGGTTTTTTTGCAAAGAAGCTGAGTTTTTGCCACAAACTGAAATATATAAACTGTACTCCAGAAGATGTAAACCTTTGAAATTTCAAAATTATTATTTATCTTATCTAACAGAATTTAAAGTTTGAGTTTGATATATCTAAGGCGTATTACATTGGGTTGAAAATATAAAGCAATTAAAAAATCAGATTTTGGGGCAAAGACTCATTTCCTTTGACTTGCGATAAACCTTTTCTATGACCATTTGAGATACCACTCTAAATTTGAAACCAATTAAAAAAAAAAACAAGAAAAATACATTTATTTTTATATTCCTTATTTAAGTACTAACAAATCTTAAAAGACTGAATAGCCAATTGCCAAAAAAATGTTTTACATTTAAAATTTTTTCAAATTTCTATCTAGGGAATCCAGCTTTTCCTGGAAACTGAACTATCTCTATCAAAGTTTATACAATTTCTGTCTCTATAATTGAACATTAATTACCTTTGCAAGAAAAGAATAAAGATATTTTGTTTACTTTTTTTCCTTTAATTCTTCCATAATAATAATTTAATTAATTAATAATCTAATAATAATAATAATAATAATCTAATCATAATAGTAATCTAATCATAATAATAATCTAATCATAATAATAATAATCTAATCATAATACAAATCTATATAGGCTGGTCTACATGAGAAGATTTTAAGGTCCCTGGGAAAATTGATTTATGATCAATCTATCTCTGATACGGTAATAAGTAAATGCAACATTTCATTGACAAGTGACCCCTGTGTAGAACGGATAAATTGTGAGAATTATCAGTTTTTAATCTTCCAAAGTATTGACACGACTACGCACCCCTGACCCTTTAGTAAAAGTCAATTCAAGCTAAAGTCTGACCGCGTCAACCTTGTTACACTGGCTGGTCCTATTGAGTGTCTGCTTTATTTACCCATTGTCCGGGCGATACAGTACAAAATTGGGACCGGAAAGGTTAACCCGGCTCGGAAATTCAAATGTACTACGGCTGCCCCTGTTATTTCTGAACTTTACCATAGGTTTTAATATCATTTTCGTTGGCATTAGATATTCTAAACTATGAATTATGTGTTGGATTACAGAAAGTAAGTATAAAATAAAAAAGGTTTACACCATCAGGTTAAACAGATATAGGGATTAGAAAATTTGAGTTTGTGGCATGACTATTTTCCTTTTGAGATTAATTAAGTTTAAACTCAACTTGTTCAATCAAAAGTACCGAACTTTGTGATAAAAAAGTAAATTTTGTTTAGGAGAAGATGAGAATGGAACACGTAGCAATAGCTTTCTTTATTCTTGCAGTTGGGTTGGTTCTGGCAGCTTCAGGGAGGATTCATTTATCAAAAAAGAAAAATTTTGAAAAATTGTTAAATTAATTTACTTTGAAACTTTATTAACATAAACTGATAATAATTTTTGAGATGTTGGTTATTTAATTTTATATTAAATAGCTAGATAACTAGGGTTTCCAACGCAAATGAATTTGACTTGCGCGCGATTGCGGGCCGTGTCATTTCCGCGCAATTCCGCACAGTTCCGCGCAATACGAGAACAGTTGAGCACTATTCCGATTGGAAACCCTACTCAAAACTTGATGGAAGTCTATAAAAAACATTATTGATTTAAAAAAAAAATTGTCTTAAATTTTTTGCTAACAGTGGGGAGAGAATCACTAAGTCAACACATGTATTCTGAAATAAAATGTCAATTATTGAGAAAGATAATTTAGAAGGTTTGTATAGTTTCAGATATAGATCTGAAATCCAGTGTTCGGAATTGAGTTTATGATGGATAGGAAAAGAAAATTGTCTGATGGAAAAAAACTTGTGATCCAACGAAACTCTATAAATAAATAATAAATAATACAAACTTCAAAACTTTGTTTTCGATGCTATAAAAACTGATTTAGAGACAACCGACCTAAATGGTATCAAAACTAGTGCAATAGACATATATCGACATATTTATAGTATTTTCACATGCAGTGCGACTTTACGGATTTAAAGCGTCACCTAATTACGACAAAATCGTATGAGGATGACGGTGAAAATCAAGCCACCCAACCCCAAAAAAGGTGTGCTACAGTACAGTACAGTACATTTATTTAAAGGAAAATTCCATATCTTTATATTTAACATAGAATCAAGCCCCACTTCCCCCAAATAACGTTGTGCTACAGTACATATATTTATCAAATTTTTCAGAACAATTTCATATCTTTATATTTAACATAGATACTAAGTAGTGATGGGCAAAAAAGGTGTGCATAGTACAGTACATATAAATATACAATTTTTGAGAATGATTACATATCTTTATGCTTAACACTAGCTGAAGGGCCCGGCGTTGCCCGTGGAAAAAATAATTTAAAGAAAAAAATTTAAGAAAAAAATATAGATTTTTTTAGCCAATAACACCCCCTGGCCACCCATGAGTTTCCACAAAAAAAATTCAGCCCAATTGGTCCAGCAAATTGGCCGGCTATACGCAACATATATATGAATGTCTTGTTTTATTATATAGAATATAGATAGGTACTAGGTAGTGATGGGAAAAAACTTTGTCCCCTTTAAATTGACGTTTTAAGGATTTTTGGATTTTTAAAAAAAAGAATTGGTTTTCATATAAAAAAATGCTGAATTTTTATTTAAAAGGCATTTTTATGGAAGATAAAAAAAATTTGCTTCGTTTTTGCTTAATTTGTTCGATTAATTTCGCAAAAGGTAAGAGAAGCATATATTTAGATTAAAAAACAAAAGTTTTTTAAATCTTTAAAAATCAGTTGCTTTTTGCTCGCGGCAGGGTTCCGACCTGCCCATAGTAGCTCCTGGCTTCACAGTTAGGATGAGGGCTGCGTAGAATTACTCATCCTACAGGGGAGTATCAAAACTCTCTCTCTTCATATCTAACTCACTAGGAAACAAGAATTCTATCTTCAGCTTTTCTCTAGCTGTACATCTCAGCTGAAAGAAGTCGAACAGAAGTATAACCCCTGGTAGTTATACAAGCCATGCACAATAATACCGCCTTGAAACTGTGAGGACTGAACTACTGAGGAAGATTCCACCTGATGGGGCTTTAAGGTTCTCAACTCCCTATTTTGCACAATTGGTGCAGTTATGGGTTAATTCCGCATAAAACCAAAAGACTTGAAAATGAAAGAAAGCAGGGATATTTTACTAAGATCTCTCATACTCTTCCTTCTTGAAACTTCCTCATCTCTTTCCTTCCTGCTCCACAACTCTATGTCACAAGAACTACATTCAGAGGCCTCAAAACTTAGAAAATATGTTAGGAATTATAATGCTAAATAAGTCTGATCAACAATGTGTCAGCATTCTTTAACTGAATCAGCAATGAGTCAGATATAAAGAACACAGGAAACATAAACAGAGTTCAGAATAAAAGGAAAGCAGGAGCCTCTCAACCTAGTTCTAAGATAGCAGCATGGCAACTGCTAGGATGTCCCAAATTTTTTATTTCTTTTTTCAAAAATAAATAAATAGAAAAAACATTTTAAAAAAGATTTTAAAAAATTTGTTTGTTAATTTGCAAAACATTTTTAATAACAATTATATATTTAAGAGATATATCCGTATATATTTATTTATATTTATATAACTACAAATGGTTAAAGTGTAGGTTCAATCTTCTTGTTGCATCTTTGTAGCTTTGAACTCCATTATCGATCTAAAATATAATAATATCAAGATTAATAATTTAAATTATTTTCTGTTTAAAAATTATTCACCGAATGAGAGATATGAATTTAATTACAGATTTAATTGTAATAACTTGATAGACAATTCGACCGAAATTTGGTAAAAAAAATAGCTGTAATTGTGACAAAGCAATTGAAACTAAATTTTTATAAGCTTTATAATAACTAAAATGTATGACTTTTTGGTATGAAGTATCAACTAAATGATATAGTTCAAATGATTATTTAATATTTGTTATCAAATAGCTTCTGCAATAAGAAGTAAAACCGATTTTAAGGAAAATACTATTTTGGAATTGATTCACTCTCCACAACAATCTATTATCTATTCTGTCAGAGAACTACAGATCACAGCATTGAAGCTTAGTTCTGGAATTAAATAAAAAGTCTAAAGTAACTTTAATCTTTATAATTTCATGTATTTTTTCAATTACTTGTTGAAAACCATGTGATATTTCAATCTTTGACAATTAGATCTAGCATGAATATTAATTGAAATGTGTCTGTGACATCAGCTTTCAAAGATATAAAGATCAGAAAATTGGAGTTAGAGGCGCGCATGTTTAGTTCCATTTTTTTACCTTCCGGTCAGAGGCACGTGTTTAGTTCCATTTTTTTACCTTCCGAAATAACGCGTTCAGATTTTTCACCATATTCTGAGCAACTGCTTCACCTCCATCTAAATCCAGGTTTGGAGTAACCGGGGCTTCTCTCTTAAACCTAAAGAAATAGAATATTTATCACAAACTCTGATTTTTTACTCCCTATATCTTTGCGACCTGATGGAGATTGTATAATTAGCGTACTGTCCGTTTTGCCTTATATGTCTGTATGTGTGCTGTACACCTTGGTCTAGCAGGTTCAAAGTCGGCCCGGTACTTGATAGAAACCAGAGTTTCCATTGGTGTTAACCTTTGATATTTCAAATCTATACATTTGATCTAATGGAATTCATAGTTTGAAATATCCAAGGTCTACATCATTAGGCTGCAAATCAGAGTCTGTTGCAAAAACTCAATTCCGATGGGCATACAAAAAAATGAGTTTTTGCCACAAACTCAGATTTCCTAATCCCTATCTTTGCAACCCATTGGCGTAGACCTTTGATATTTTAGACTATGAATTCTGTCAGATCAAATAATTTGTAAAGCTATATTAAGTATTAGAAAATTAGAGTTGGGGGGGGGGGGATACATTTATTACTTCCTCTCTTTCCTATGTTTCTTTACATTTAAACTATGAAGTGTATTCACAAACGAAGTCNTGTATATACATTAGTACGGGATGGGTACGTTAGTACAGGATGGATACATGAGTACAGGATGGATATGTTAGTATATATGGGATGGATATGTTAGTATGGGATGGGATACATTCGTATGGGATGGATACGTTAGTACAGGATGGATACGTTTTCATGGGATGGATACGCTTGTAGGGATGGGAACGTACTTTTGTTCGTCAAGGCCTAGTTGAATTGTCGCAACAGACACAAACCCTTCATGTTTTTTTCGTTTGTTAATTTTCAAAAACCGTTTTCTAACAAAAGTTTGCCCAGCCCTGAATAAGCTATTATACTGGAGTTTATTCTTACCTGAAACCGGAAATGATAGCTACTTTATACCGGAAATGAGTACTTCTTGAACCTGGAAATAAGTTCTACTAGTACAGGAAATGAGTACTATCTATGAACCGGAAACTATACCTGAAACCGGAAATGAGTACTATCTATGAACCGGAAACTATACCTGAAACCGGAAATGAGTACTATATATGAACCGGAAACTATACCTGAAACCGGAAATGAGTACTATCTATGAACCGGAAACTATACCTGAAACCGGAAATGAGTACTATCTATGAACCGGAAACTATACCTGAAACCGGAAATGAGTACTATATATGAACCGGAAACTATACCTGAAACCGGAAAAGCTGAGAGTATTGCAAAGGAAAAGCAGGAAACAAAATCCTCTAATTAACATATCTAAACAATCTCAAGAATTGAAGAAAGTTAAAATTTTTAACTTTTTGCAAAACATACAGTAATCATGGTCATTTGCAATCTTACTAAGTTTATATTTGCAATAATTAGCGTGACGATATCTGTCAAAAATATTGTGTATCATCCCATTTGGCTTTTTAAAAGAAAAAAAATATTTCAGAAGCTTTGACATTTTTTGTATAAAAATATATTTCAAATAATTACTTTTGTCATAATTACTGTTTCCTTAAGTAACACTAATGACTACGACAAAAAAATGGGTGGACATTCCAGAATTTATTTAGACCAACTTATTTTTTTTTAAATAAACCCCAAAAATGTACAATTTCACTTTATTAACAGTAATTATAGAAAATATATCTACTTTAACAAATGTTACAATTATTTATAACTATAACGGCAATAGTAATTTATGGCAAGTGATATCTAATGGCAAACGTATTGGTAAGGAAACTAAGTGTAAAAAAATATCTAATAGTAACGATAATAATTAATTTCTTATGCTGACCTGTGACTTAATTAAAGTCTACTGCCGAATGCATGATTTTAATGTTTTTGTTATGAAAAATGTGACTTTAATAACAGTTTAATTTTTCTCTCATATTTCAATTGTTGTCAAAGTTAAACAAGTACTTTGTATTTAAGTGTCTCCCGTAAAAAAAGTTTAAGAAACACAGGGAGATTCAGAAAACATGACACGTTGACAACGTTTTAATTAAAATTAATAAAAAATTAAAATTATTTTTTTACTTTATTAGGAAGCACCTCTTTCCGCTTAATATTTAAACTTTTATTGTTAAGTTTGTCAATTCCAGTATGATTGTTTACATAAAAGTCCCCGGAAAAATATTTTTGTCTGGTTCCAGTATGATTGTTTACATAAAAGTCCCCGGAAAAATATTTTATACAGTTGAAAATGCACGGGAACAAAGGATGTTTACATTCATGCAAAAATAGGGCAATTGAAATAAATACACCCCAAGATTGAATATCAATATGCAGATGCTTAGAAAAAAGTCCTTTTTATGAAAACGTCTCAGACCTCATATTCACAAGACTAAGGACTTTAATTCCTGTGATCTTATTTCCTGAGATTTTGTTAGCAGCCCCCAAATTATTTTAGGAAAAAAGTCTTAGGAATCTAAAACTCAGGACTTTATTTCCAGCGACATTTAGACCTAGGACTTCAGAAAATTGGGACTTTTTTACCAAAGTTTTTATTTCTATGTTTTTTCAGAAACTTTTTCTTCTGTGACTTTCTTACATATATTTGGCTACTTTACCCCCCCCCCCCCCACCAATGAAAAATACCTACATTAAGAAATGTTTAAATATTTTACAAAAACTGTAAATCTAAAAATACACAAAGTTAATCATTGTAATTATAGGTATTTAAGAACAATTGATCATGTACATTGGACAGCCCTTCATAATTAACTTAGAATAATTAGACAAGAAAAATAGTACATTAGACAGCCCTTCATAATTAACTTAGAATAATTAGACAAAAAAAAAATATAAAAACGATTAATAACTCTAAATATATATATCAAGGACGAACATGCTCATTACAAGTTATAATATTCAGATAAATAATGTTTTAATAAGTCAATTATGTCAATTAAAAGGTCATCGATTGTTATTTTTTTTGGAACAAAGTCATGAAAGTTTCTTTATACAAACCTAATTTTTTCTCATTTTTTAACTTTGAACTTTGTATTCAGGAATTAATCCAAGAGATGGGGGGGGTCCTGCCCCCCCTGGGATGCCCAGGGGGGGGGTCAAAAGGACTGCAGCTCCCGCCTATCTACGCGCCGGAAAATGACTTACAGTCTTACAGAACTCTTTCAAATTCAATTCTTAGATAAAGCATTGACATGGACCATCCACCAAGGTCCTTAATCAAGTCATAATTTGGACTTTTGACCGGTACCTCTTACCTAATTGTCACAGTCAGCTTGTGTATCCTAGGTGACCAACGCTGTAGGTTTAAATTTTGATATCACTGGGTGGAACATTCAGAGGTAATCTAGAACATCTGTCTAGATGTATACGTATGTTGGCATGGATTGAGCTTGAGGGTGGAGAGGGTTTGGGGGAGCGGGGCCTACCCCCTACCCCTGCTAAAAAAAACTGACTTAACGTATGCAAAAGAAAAACTAAACTTTAAGTCTCATGACTGTGATATTTGAGATTTCAAATATACTGCATTATACTAAGCAGTTCTGACCTGTTAAGAATATCAGCAGCTCTACACAGTTTCATATAAGAGACAGTCATCAAACGAAAAAATGGAGAAAGAAGATAAAAAATAGAATTTTATTTCGTATGATCAGTACTCAACATTAAAAAAAATTAAAATTAATAATTACAAAAATCTGAACAAATTTAAAGCATACACTTTGTGTAAAAAGCATAAACTTTGTGTAAAAAGCATAAACTTTGTGTAAAAGGGAGTGTTCACGAAAAATGAAAAGGGATATAGGCTTTAGGCGAAAAATAATCGTTTTTGATTGCGACTAATCTTACTTCTATCTATTGCGTCTATAAAGAGACAATTATTAAAACGACTTATACTGAAGAACATAGCGTCCATACAAATTAAGAAAGTTGCAAGATACGACTCAGATCGTAAAAAAATCAATTTAATTTAAAACAAATCATTCAGATATTACAACTTATAGTCATCAATAATATTTCGACAAGAACAGCAATGGAACAATATAACTGAAGGCCCTCATTCTAGAACAGAAACGAACGATTTAAAAAAAGGTCGGAAAGTGCCCTGCCCCTACATAGTAGAATAGTATTGAATATTGATGAACTGTGATTTAAAAAAAATAATATACATTCTTTCGCTATGAATTCTATTTTTATATAATTATCTAATTCCTTGCATCGTTATTTTTGTTTTTATTTTATTAAATGATAACAATCTCATCTCTGATGATTTCATGTCAACTTAGACAGAAAAAAATAGAAGAAGACACTCACAAGGCACAATATCTATTTTAATTTTTTTTGTATAATTCATGCCATTTTATGAAGAAAATTAACCCTATTCCTGCTGGGGGGGGGGTCAATTTGACCCCCCCCCTTTGGTTTTTTTACATAACTCAAAAAGTATTGGTCTAAGGCTGTTGAAATTTTCTACTTTTCCTACATACCCAAAGCCCTTCCTTTAGGCCTAAAACTAGGCTATAATACTAACTGCCTGAGTCCTCAGGCACATTGCCTGAATGACTGCTTTTATTTTTGTTTTGTTTTACGATGTACACAAAGAGAACATGTTCACAACTAATTTAGAAGATGGGCGCGAAGCGCCCTCTAAGGCTAGAAAGAAGGGCGCGAAGCGCCTTGAATTTCTAGTATTCTATATTTTAATATCAAACTTTATGAGTTTAATATCAAATTGTCTACAAAACAACAGTTCCTGAGTCTAAAACTAAAGAATGCGCGAATTTTAAGTTTGAGGTTAAAAGTTCTGTAAAATAATGAATAGCTACTTATATATTAAACTTTCTCAATTTCAAATTTGAATTTCCCGATCTGAACCAATCAGAGAATAGGATTACGTAACTAACAGTAATCAGCTGTTTTTTAAATTTGAAATTATTTACTCGACGGAAAACAAAACTTATTTCCAGTTACAACCGTATTTTGGGTTTACGTGCAAACATTTATTAATCTAAAACGTGAAATTTATTAATTCAAGGTTTTTACTTTTAAATATCGTAATTAGTTGAATGCTGCTTACTGCTGAATGATGATAGACAAATAGGGATTGCAGGATTTCAAGATTTAACCTCAAGGTTAAAGTTCAGGTTTAAATTAAGTCAGAAGTGGCATTTAACCATGAACTTAAAATTTAAGCCAAAACTTTTCGTTCTTTAGTTTTAGACTCTGAGCTGTCCTAATAAGTCATATTAGATTTTAAATATCCCAAGACTTTTCAGCTCTCCATGTATTTCACTTTATTCAAATATGATTTGATATTACTCAAATGATTTACTAATTCCATTATTTTTTCTTAAAATGTTGATTGAGGCCAAGTGAAATGGGACTCATATGTTTCATATTCATTAGACTAATTAACAATCATTATTTCACATTTTTATAGTCACACTTACTTGTTGTAGTGCAGTCATAACACTCTGTTGTTGTGGCTAAAAAATAATAAAATTTTCCTTTTATAATCATGAAATATAATATGACGTTTTACTTACGTAACACACATTTATAGTCAGACCATTCAACTGAATCAAAAGAGCCAGATTCCTAAAATTTTTTGGGAGTCATCATAAATAAAATCAACTTTTTGCATATCACTGGTTGGCGTTTGTATTAGTACAATGATGATAACTTTTTATTTCAGGTTTGATCTCTGGCTGGTTTTATACAACTGTCCACTGAATCTTTGTTTAAGCAATAAGAGTTACAACTAGTGATTCTTATTTTGTTTATGTTCTCATTTCTTATTTCTCTTAATATCCCATGTACAAATCCTATGTACAACAATGTACAAGCCCACACTATTTACATACCTGACATGTTGTCAAAACAAATGGTGTAGCTAACCAATCTGAATCAAACACTTCTCCAGGGGGGCAAATATAGGTTAGATTAAACCCAATGGGAGGAGCAGGACTCAAGTCTGAAAAATGGACATTTTTTTTATATTGACATGGATTTTGTCTAATTTGTTCATTGTTTAAAAAAATTTGAAAAATAATTAGTTTTTAAATTTAATATCAGTGAAGTTGACCTTCATTTTAACATACATCTATATATAAATTTGTCTTGTCTGTCTGTTTTTCTGTTTGTTTGTATCCAATAAACGTCAAAACGGCTGAACCGATCAGGCCCAAATTTTTTGTGGGACCTCACGTGACCCCAGGGAAGGTTTATGAATGATCAAAATTTTAAAATTTGTGTTTAAAAGTTTTATATTTTTGAAAAATTAAAAAAATTCGCAAAAAAAAATTAGGAAATCCGTACAAAGAGAAGATGTTCATCGATAAAGCCACAATTATAAGTTGAAATAGAAGATGGGCGCAAAGCGCCCTAAAAGCCTAGTTAGTATATATACATTCTTGATAATAATACTAATATTAAAATTATGAAATAATTTATTTATGCAAAATACCCAAATTACCTTGGCCTCCAATCCCAATGAAATTAATGACAATATCACCAGTTACTGTGATCAAAGTTAAATTCTCCAAAGGGACAGTATGTAAAACAGTATCATATGGAAGTTCAGTGTTAACTTGAAGATTCCAGCCATCTTGATCACAGTTGATGTTTAGAATAAATGGTTCATCAAAATCTATACTTGTCCCATCTCCGATTGCACCAGCAACATCAGATTTGGTTCTATTGATCACACTGTATCTTTCTATCATATTTTGCTTTAGATTTAAATTAACATGTAATCCTTCAGTTACTGTGCTTTCAGCAATTGATATTGCGGGAACAGATTTTGCTGTGCTCGGAATGCTTCCAATAATCATAAGCTTTGTATTCTTTGAGCAGAAGCTTGGTCCGGGAAATGGTAATTTTGCTGGAATTTCAGGGTTATATTGACTGGCTCCTGTGTAGATAATTATATCAGAATGTTTAGTTTAAATTTTCTGAGGTTGAAATAAAATGTTTTCATAATATTGTGTTAACCTGAAACTGTTAGAGGGTTTTTAGGATCAGGTTTGTAGACAAGACCTGTATCCCTAGACGGGGCAGGAATCTCTTGGCAATGAGTTGCTGAAAATGTTGATAAAATGAACAAGATTACTTTGAATTAAGCATTCTTCTGACTAATGACTACCTCTCACAAAGGGCTGGGCGCGTTCCTGGTGGAACGACCGTTCTTTCCCGAAAACGAACGGAACGATCAAGAACGATCCCATCGTTCAGAAAAAAACGAACGCTCAGAATGCGTTCTTAAAAATTTTGGAACGATTAGTAAAAGAACAGAACGGAACTGAACGGGAATTGCTTGAAAAGAACGGTTAAAATCGTTAACACGTTCTTATTTTCAAGAACACGTTCTAAGTCAGGAATGTGTTTCAAGTTTAAATTTTCTCTGTATGTATAATGAACCGAAATTGAAAGATAGATTATTGTAAATGACATTAGACACAATAATATAGAAAAGTAATTTTTTTTCTTTTTTATATTATTGAAATATTGATTATGAAAATTAAATATTTTTTAAAAATCTACAAATTGTACACCCCCTTTTTTAAGGTTACCCGGTTTTAGTAATCGTTCTATACTAAGAACAGAACAGGGGGATGGAAACGTTCTTTGACTAAGAACGGAACGAAAGAGATGGAACCGTTCTTCCCGGAACGGAACGGAAAGACCATTCTTCTACTCAGAACGGAACGGAACGGAACGTAACGGAACGATACAACAAAAAAGGAATGAGAATGGAACAATTTATCTGAAGGCCCTCGTTCTTGAACGGAACGGAACGATTTCAAAAAGTCGGAACGTGCGCCCAGCCCTACTCTCACATAATCCAGGTTTTGAATAAAAATGGATATTTACCTTGACAAGGATCCAGTAATGGAGGTGTCCAGGTTTTATTCCAAGCACACACTGCAGTAGTGGCAGCATAGAGCTTTCCACTAGGTGATTTAAACATTCCAAAAGGACCACAGGTGTAGATAATTTGAGTCTGGTATTCATAAGAGTGATTCCATTCCCAAGTTCCTGATTGAGGCCTTTGAGGAGGTTCCGTACAGTTTATTGCTAGAATGAATTTAGGTTTTTTTTACATTATCCCAATCTAATAACTAAATTGTCTACTTACATGACAAACAACTAGGCCAGTGATCTGGTATATCCCAAGAACCTCCTGGTAAACAAGTCATATTCCATTGAACTATATCTTTGTTCTGCTCAAAGAACAACGAGTCATTTATGCACCTGTATCCAACTGTGCTATGAAAATCTACTGGAGTTCCATCCCACATAGATACTAATCCAGATAAAACAGGAGGCTAAAAGAAGTATCATTTAGTCGCTTAAAGCTTTAGAATGATGAATATGAAAATTTAGGCTGAAGTGGTGATAATTACTTTTAAAATTTTGTACTTGAATTGAAATATTGAAAACAAGCTAATCAAAGTGCTCATATTGAGTCTTATTTAGTAGAGCAGTCTCTCTTCATTACTATTTCTTTTTATGCATAGATTGTTCTTACTGTAGGTGGATTAAGACATTGCACCCAGACACACTCATCAAGAGTATCAGAAGGCGTCCAACTTTTGTTCCAATTACAGCTCATCCATCTCTCATCATATGTTTTATTGGTTTCTTTGCTTAAAAACTTTCTGGCAAGACCACATTCATACCTTTTAAAATAAATTGGCTTTGTAACTTGATTTGTTAACTTTTAAATCATAATTATTTAACTTAGCAGTAAACAATAAGCATGCATGGCATGTACGAAAATTTTATCTTGCAAAATTGGTTTCTATGTCAGAGTGTGCTTCTGGCATGCAACATCTAACCAATTTTAAGAACAATTCTCTTGGGAATAGGGTTTCAACCGGAATTCCGGGTTACGGTTTACGTAGGGAAATGATCCGGAAATTTTTTCCATTTCCATTGTGGAAAAGGTTCCGGAAAACCGGAATTCCGGAACGATTTCCGAAACGATTTTTTTTCCGTAAAATGGAAATTTAGGGATCGTTCCGGAAATTTTCCGGAAAATTGTTCCGGAAATTTCTGGTTTCCATTTATACCGGAATTATCCCGGAATTCCAGTTTACGCAACAAATTTCCGGATCATTCCATTTCCAAAATGGAAATTTTTTTCCAGAAAAATGGAAACCCTAGTTGGGAAACATTTATTGTTAGAACTTTTTTTGAAATCTTTATTTGTTTCACCTGAGATTTGCTCCATATTTTCTTTGAACTCTACTTTCATTATTTGTAACAGATCCAATGGATTTGGATCCTGTGTTGACTGTAAAAGTTCCACAAAGTGCTAAAACAAGACATTTTACGCAAGGGGAAAAAATAGTTTTGTAAAAAATGGGCTTAATGACAATACACGCTGGTCCAAAAGGTTCAGAGCACTATCTGTTTTCTTTAAAATATCTGTTACCTTGTTTAAATACTCTCATGTGAGTCTCATCATTTTGACTAGCATCATAATTAGAACTGTTCAGATTCTTAATCTTCATGATTTCATCAATCATTGTCTCTTTCATTTTATCATAAGACAGATTTTGCATTTCAGTTTTACTTTTAATTGTATCTGTAAGGGCAAGGTACATAAACGCAATAGAGCACAATGACCCTTTTGCATTACTGATATCTCTAAAAACATAAGTGAAATTATTGAAAAATATAATATTATCAAATGAACAAAACATGGAATAAAAACCTGCTGCTTAGATCCTGAATGGAATGAACACCACTGTCAACATGCTTGCTGAGCTCAGATATAAGAATAGTTTTCATGTCTTCATTTGTGACATTTACTAGGTCCAAATGGGATTTCCATAAATTCAATGTTAAGGAATTGTAAACACAATTTTTTTCATTGACAGAAGCATCCCAATCCCGGCAGCGAACTTAAAAGATATTTTGATTAAACAAGAAATATCCCTACACATTCTTTTATCAAATCATAAAAAAAAACTTACTGCATACATAATTCAACAATAACTGATTTTTTTGTTTCTTATCACAAGGAGATTTCCAGGTTTGAAAGGAGGTTTCTACTGATATTGTGCAGTTATATTTGGAAACACATGTAGTTCTAGAAGTGTTGACAACCTATAGTAATTACAAAGAAGTAATAAGATTTTGCAGTCTTGTGAATTGTACCTGAAGATTTAAGCAATCAGACCGAAGAGTAACAGAATCTGTATTTCCATTGCACAACTGGTTAGTTCCTTTAACTCTTCCGTAATAACCAGATGTAATATGAATACTCAGGAAGGAAGGACATATCATGTTAACCAAAGCCCCATCTACATTGCAGGATTCTTGAACCATTGCAGGAAATATTGTCGGATAATTTTCAACCAAACCCTCAAATGGGGCATTTGGTGGTACTGGGCAGAATGTAGCTGAAATTAAATGTAAACATAATTTATCAATTCAATCTGCTCCTTAAATGTATTACCTTCTGTGCATTTTGGCCACTGATCATCTGTTGCTGGAGTGTTAAAAAAACCTCTGGTTGTACCAGGTCTTGTCCCATCTTGACATTGATACTTAATACTTTCTTGATATTGATCATCTTCAAATTGAAATCCTTTCTCACAGACATATGTAATTTGATCTCCAAAATTAACAGGATTCCCATCCCAATATGTTATTCTTAGGTTTGACATGGCCGGGGGTTGCGGGGGTTTTAAGCACTGAACCCAGTCACAAGGATCAAGTTCATTGATTGCTGTCCAGTTCTTGTCCCAGAGACATGTCATTCGATGAATATCATGATGGTTTCCATCCTGATCTAGAAATTTTCTTGCAGACCCACAGTGATACCTTAAATATCCATCAGTATAAATTTAGCTAGTGATGCTAGAAGGATTAAACCTTTATCGGACCGGTTATGAAGTTTTAATAATATAAGAGCCATAGGAGGGAAAGAAACATCTAAAAAAGGGAAAATCAAAGTTGGAGTGTTTAATCTTGGAATTTTTCTTTAGCTCTGTTTGTTTGACAAACATTAGAAATAAATAATGAAAAATAATAAAAGTGAATATGATATATTGCAGGAGAAGCCAAAAAAACATTATGCTGAAGTAAATCAAGTTTTAAATCATGAAATGAAAGTTACATACTTAAATGGTTTTAATCAATTCTTCATCATTGATAAGAACTTTAAAAATTAATGAATATATTTATTCTATACATTACGTTAGGTTTGCCATGTAGTTTCTAGGTATTTCAGTTTTATTTCTATCAGATCTATAGACAGTATGAATAAGAGCTCCTGAAGGGAAGTTTATCTTGTCAATGACAACATAGCCGTCATCATTTGGATCAGAATATTCTGGATCTGATGGAATAGATGGAGGAAGCTTCTCACACTCAATATCTTTAAAAGAAATTAAATAACAACTGACTTCTCATAATATACAAGTGTAATTTACCTTCAACACAAACTGGCCAATTTTCAGTTTTATTTAAGAACCCAAATGTTCCGTTTGGTAAACATGGCATGCTAAATGAGGATTTAGAGCGATCATGTAGAAAAAACTTTGTATGCACTCCATTACTACTTCTCTTTGAACATCTGTATTCTTTGTTTGAGTTTATTCTTGGGAATTCAGATGTAGATTCTTCTAAAGATGTGTATAACGGTATATAAAATGGATCTACACAATGGGTTATATAACATTGTGGCAGAGTTGACCAGGGACTCCAATTCTTATTCCATCTACACACTGTTGTAATAGACTCACTGTCTCCTTCAAGATCCCCATTTGTGTCAAACTGTGATCCTTTCACACATTGATATTTTACTTGTGTGGCATAGGTATCTTTGAGCTCAATACCATTCAACCAAGTTCTTGATCCTCCATTTGTTACATTGGGTGGTTGGCCACAATTCACATTACTTAAACAAGTTGGCCAGTTTTTTCTTATATTGATAAAGTCATAATTACCATCAGGTTTACACAGCATTGAGAAAGAAGTTTTGTTTCGATCAGATTCAAAGAATTTTGTGTGATTACCATCAGGTTTTTTGCCTTTACATTGATACCATTTTTTTCCATTTATTGGTACCCAGCCTGAATTTAATTCTTCTAGATTTGAATCTTCTGGCATTGGAAGAGGATCAATACAGTGGGTGATTACACATTTTGGTAACTTAGGCCATGGACTCCAGGTTTTTCTCCATTCACAGTTAATTGTAACATTTACACTGTCACCTACACCATCATTATTTGTATCAAACATAGATCCCTGGACACATTTATATGTAATATGTGTATCATATTTATCATCTTGATCAGATCCGTTTATCCATGTCCTGGAACCATTTACAGGTACAGAAGGTGGAGCTCCACAAGAAATAGTTTCAGAACATTGGGGCCAGGGAGAGGGATAAGCAAAGTTTCCGTCCGCACCACATCCTACCTGTATGAAATCTATGGACTCCAACTTAAGGGTTGTGTTCTGCTCTAATACCATATTTGATTTACATTCATAGGTTATGTTGTTCCCAACAGGAACTAACTCATTATCCCATGTGTAATTAAAGTTTAAAGAGGGAAATGTTGACTGGGGCTCTAAGCAGTGAGTTATTTCACAAGGTGGAAGAGGTAACGGATACCAGACTTTACTCCAGTGACAGTCAATGAATATGTTCATGAAATATCCATTACTGGTCTTAAACTGAGACCCTGGTTTGCATGAGTACTTAATCTTGGTTTCATAAACAGTTTCATTTACAGCTCCCTTTACCCACTCTCTAGTTCCATTTATAGGAACATCAGGGGGAGAACCACAAGATATAGTTTCAAAACATTGTGGCCAAATCTCTGGATACTCAAAGTCCCCAAGGGAGTTACACTTAACACTTATAGAATTTGATGCTGATGATTTATTTCTGGTATCACTCTCTAATGCTTTATCTGAATCACAGTAGTAAATATAATAGTTGTCAACCAATACTGCTTGGTTGTCCCATGTAAAGTTATAGTTTAGAGATGCCAAAGGAGTAGCAGGTTTTACACAATGTGTTACTTTGCATTCAGGAAGAGTTGCAGGTTCCCAACTTTTCTTCCATAGACATTCTAGTACTTTTGTTTTTCTAAAGTTATTTCCTACAAGAAATTGAGATCCTGGTTTACAGGTATACTTTATCTTGGTCTCATAAAGCATCTCTGGTTCAGAACCTTTGATTAGAAAAATTATGAGTTTTACCTTTTTCAGAACCAATCTAATTTTTATATGAAAAAAAAATCATATTGTAACAATCTTGCTGAAATCTTTTTGGGAGAACCCATGGGTACCAAAGAGGGTGAAAAAGGCTTGAAAAAATTAGCAATTTTTTAAAAATTCTATTGGTAACGTTTACCACTTCAGCTTAATCATGCTTTAATTTCAACCACAAGTACATTTAAATGTGAAACAGTAACTTTTACTGAGAATATTGATATAAACCTGGGCAACACTGAGCACTCCAGATAGATTTTATATTTTCCTAACAGAAATTTTGTTTGTACAATGTCACTTCTTACCTTTTATCCATATTCTAGTTCCATTTACTGGTTGATCAGGTGGGGAACCACACAACACTTTTTCATAACATTGTGGAAACAGTGATGGGTATTCAAATTCTCCACTACTATTACAATTTACACTAAAGCGTATTGCTGCACTTGTTTTATTCGTATGATCCCCATCAAGAGCTGTGCCTCCTTTACATGTGTACTCAAACTTACTCCCAATATTTACAAGATTACCATCCCAGTTATAAGTGAAATTAAGACCATCATCTGGTTTTAATGGATTATCACAGTATTTTGCTTCACATCTGTAATCTTTAATGTCTTCAGAATATGTTTTATCTGAATTACAATCAAAAGTTTTGGTGGATGAGGACTGGCTCCCACTGTTCTGTTTTTTGAGATTGAATCTCCGGTCTAAGCATTTCCAACTAAAAATGCATTAACACAATCAATTAACAGACCAAAATATCATAAATCAAAACAAACCCCTGTTTCAGCTCTAAAGAAAATAGACTTTTTAATATTCCTACCTAACTTGATCTCTATAGTACACTGTTGTATCATTAGAGACTAAAGTAGCAATACCATCAGAAACAACTAGAGTTCCAGGGTGTGGACACACTATTTCTTGAGAAAAGTAGATGTTTAAAAATAACTATAAGTAAATAAGTAGATAAAAAATAAAATAGTTTAGTTACTTTCGCAAGATGTTGGAAGAGAGTAATCAAAAATCCATTTCGGAACATCACTTGCTGAACTTGTACAGGTTGCTTTTACTTCACTTGTCAACACTGGATCTGAATTTTTAATAACAGGGAATGACGTAAATCTGTTAAAAACCATTTTTTTCTTAACCTTGAGACCCAGAGTTTGTAGGAATTGCAGTTTTGAACTCATATCCAGTTTTACAAGTGTAAGTCTTAATTTTTCCCACGATAGTATATCCATTTAAATCATTAGAATATGCATCTCTTGGGTTGGATGGAAGAGTTTCACTACAATACTCTAAAAATTTTTATTCTGGTGAAATGTGCCTGTTGTTTGAATCAAAGAAACAAAAATATTTAAATGTCAAATATTTTGATACCACTGATATTCATATACTGTCATAATCTTGTACTGAATTTAAATTTTTTCTTGATTTCATGTTTTACATTTCATTTTTAAACAAATATATTACCAACACAGTCTCCTAAAGTTGATCCATATTCATACTTCCAAGCCATATCAAAAGTATCAATATCATAAGTGCAAGTTCCAATTAGTGTTGTGTGAGCTGTATAATCACCATTATCCTCATGAAAGAAAGCATGGCCATCTTCACATTTAGCCTCAAATGTATTGGCTGCACTTCTTACTGCAGGTGAGAAATTTGATGTCATATGTTGACCAAGGGTGACACTGTCTGGACAGTCCTTAGCTATAATTAATGTTGTTAAAACATAAAAAAAACCACTTGTAAAATAAAATATAAAAATAAGAACATTACTTCCTAGGCAGCCTGGCATGCATGCCCCTGCCTCCTTCATCCTGGCCTTATCAGTTAGTCTGATGGCACATCCACCGTTGAAGCATGTGTTGTCTGTCACAATTGTACCATCACTAGGTCTTCTAAATGGAAAGATGCACTGGTCCCCATTGTCGGCCATACATCCAGATTCAGTTGTTACTAAGAATTAGGTGGCATGTAAGGTATAATTTGTCTAAATCATGTAATCTGAAATATAATTAATACATACCAACAAGAATCTCTGCGATTTTTAATTCTCTTTCTTCACGTTGGTAGAATATCAGAGTTTGAACAGGAAGACTAGGTCCTTTGAATTCTGTCCAGCTAGATTTCTCAAGTGTTTGCTCTTGATTTGGCCCTATAATTTCTTTGTTTATTTTAACATTAAAAGGAATTGAGTCTTTGCAACAAACTCAAATGTTCCAATCCCTTTATCTTAGCCACCTGATATTGTGAACCCTTAAATGTTTCAAACTTAGATTATTTGATCTGACAGAATGTATAGATTGAAATATCTAAGGTCTCCGACATTGGGTTGCAGACATAGATAAAGATAGATTGCGCATAAGACGACATTTTTCATCTTGAAAGATATTAATGTACAGAGATGTTTTAAAGATATTCCTATTATATAGATTAACTATTGGTCGGTTGTGAACATTGGCTGTTCTTATGTCATTGAGTACTTGTGGTGTACATGAGTTCTGTAGAGAGAAATTTAAGTTAGTATAGTCCTTCTCATGTCCTTCTTCAGTTCTCGTCAATTTGATATATTGCTCAGTGAAATATTGTTGTTCAAATAGTTCCATTCCCGGAGTTATTTTAACTCTATTCTATGAAATCAATTAAAACACCAAACCACCCCACTTACCATCGAAGTACACTTTGACCCCTAAAAGTATGAGTTCGTGGACGGTACAATTCTTGGTGACATAAGCTGTCTATGTTTATTTATTTATCCATGGTTGCAGAGATATAGGGATTAGAAAATTAGAGTTTGTGGCAAATACTCAATTCCTTTTATGATCTAGGTTAACCCACTCCTAGTTGGGCTTCCCCCTGAGACACAGTTGACTAATTGTTGAGCAAAACCCTCAAATCTTTTTAATAATTTTATTTGGGACCTAAATCTTTGTTTTTCAAACAGTTTTCTTAGCAGTTGTAGATATTTGCTAACCCTGGAATTTTTTTACTGAAAACCCGGACCATTTGCCAAAATATTTTTCATACACATAATGTCTAAGTATTTTTTGACCACATTCAATTAGATTCTATGGACCAAATAACGAATACGTGAGGAACTATTTTAGATTTGTATAGACTCTGACTCACCTCTACACTGTCTTTTACCTTAGCCTCTGCATTTGAAAGTTGGATAAGAAAAGAAGTTTGAAAAAGTTTTAGCATTTAGCCACCTTGCCATACATGCAAACATGATTGACAGTTTAATGGCAAACATGTTAAATATAGCAAATTTGGATGAATCTCTTCTAAATGGGAGATGGTGGATACCTTTCTGCCAGTTATTATCTCCAGGACCTTGGTAATACATGCGAATTTTACTTTGCTTGTTATCATTTTCATTAGTTCCAAGAAGATAGATCCAAGTAGCTGTGACAGGAGAGTCATACTTTAATATAGCACGCCTAGAAAAAAAATCCATTACAATACAAGATGCATTTTCCAAAAGCCGGTTGTCTCTCGCATAAGATGCATATATTCATATTTCATCTAATTGATATCAGATTGATTTAATTGATCCAAACTCATCTTTTCTAGAAGGTATCTGAAGCTACAGTGGAATAGAAATATGACTGTTCAGCACAAATTATGATTTTTAATTGTCTAATGAAGGTTAATCTGAAAAAAATTAAAAACCATTAACTTTATAACAAATACAAAAAGAATACTATATTTTTAACTTCATACTCCACTGTCTATATAAGAATCTCATTGTAGAGCAAATGATATTTTGAAATTTCTCAAATTTAAGCGAAAATATGACCAAATTTGCTTGTTTTGAACAAACTTTTAGTTTGTATGGATTGAGACTTTTAAAGTGCAACTTGTGCCATGTAAGGCTGCCTTTCAGAGTTGGTTTGGTCGTAACTAGTGAACAAGTGGAATAAAAAGATAAGGAGGGCCTGGCATGTTATCTCACATTTTCTACAGACGTTTGGATGTATAGTTGGCTTAAGGGTATCAGAAAGCTTATTTAAAAATTCAATAAAGAACTTACATTTTCTCAGCCTCAGAGGTAGACCAATAGCTATTAGTAGCCCAGTTCCCATCAATCAACCGGTTTTTTTGGCTATCATTCTCAGTCACAGTCACACTAGCTGAAAACAGAAATATGTTCTGTTTTATTCCATCAAGTGTGCACAATAAACTTTTATTTCCTACTACTCTGTTAATTGTGTGAATTAGGTTTATGTTAATATTTCATAATTCCACCAAAATTCCCTTGGGTTGTTGTCTTGTGTTTAAGAATATTTATATTAAAGCATAGTCTTTTATTTTAGCTTAAATTTTCTGCAATAAAACTTTTTTTCCAATAGACAAGTTTCAATTATAACCAAATTAAAAAGGTCTTTTATCAAAAGGTAACAGTTTGAAAGTGATCTGTGAACCTTATCATTAAATGAAATGTGTTTTTATTTTTATTTAAAGTGAATTAAGAAATAAAGTATTGTTTCGCTACTTAGCGATTTCCCTAAAGACCTAATATATATACCGTGTGGTATTTCTCAGGACCGGATCGTAAGACTCCCTTCTCTCAACGCTCTTCATAATAAAAGGATGATAGTAAGGTTCCGAACGTTTATTTCTCTGAGCCTTCAATCTAAA